ACACACACACACACACACACTCACACACACACCCCGTTTACCATCCTTCCAATCCACAATAGGGGACAGTATTAGAGTGCTCGGAGCTCCCTCCCAGAGCGCCACAATGAAACCTCTGTCTTTCCAGGTAGTGAGAGGGTGAGAGAGGAGGGGGGGTGGGGGGTCAAAGGAAAAAGGAGGGGAGAATTTGGGTTGAGGTGGGAAGAGTTTTCGAAAGTGTGGGACGAAAGAAAGAGGCCAGCTGGGAGTGTGTGTGTGTTTGTGCTGTCATTTATGTGAGAGAATTAGCTTGTGTCTGGGTGTGTATGTGCTTGTGTGTGTGTATTTGTGCTTGTGTGTGTGCCTGGTTTACAGGGGCAGGCCAAGTCGCTGACAGTGAGACAAATGTTGTGACTCCTTTATGGATTGCTTAACAAATGCGGCACAAATAGCAGCCCTGGCACAACAATGGAAAAAAACACTGTTCCCTCACTCAATAAACATTATGCAGTGTCTTCCCCCCCTTGCAAAAACACCAGGGGAGCAGGGCCGCCGTCCACCGGATGCACTTTTCCTCTCTCCGTCTGGTCCTTCTCCTCCTCCTCCCCCAAAAATCTCTCTTTCTGCTTCTTTTCATCCCTTTACTATAGTAACACTCAAGATTTTCCCACGAACTGTCTTTGCTCAGATAGATAGATAGATACATAGATACTTTTCCCCCACTCTCCCTCTGTCCTTTATCTTGACTTCATCCTTCCTTCCACGCAGAAATGTCAGTGGCGATCACATCATCCGGTGACTCAGTGTAAAGACATAAATAAGGTTTTAAAGACGAGAGGAAAAGCTGAAAACATGACAAGGAAAGTATGTGGAGCGCTGCCTCGCTGGTGACTAAAGCTTTTGGGTGGACAAGGGGATGAGAGAGGAAGACGGACAAACAGAAAAAGAGAAAGAAAGAGAGGTAGTTCCAGAGGCCACATGAGTAGGCCCACGTCTTCTGCGTCCACCCCCTTTCGCCTCTCTCCGTGCACATACACACACACAGAACACATGACTGTCTCTCCAGCGAGTGTGTGTGATTAACAGCGGTGACATTAGGTTGTGTGTTATTGCCTTTTGTGGTTAAAGCTGGACAGGAAACACGGTTTGGGCCGTCGGCCGGCGATTTAGGGCACCTCACAGAGGATGCTTTGTGTGTGTGTGTGTGTGTGTGAGTGCTTGTGTGTGAGGGTGCTTGTGTTTGAGGGTGTGTCTCTGTGTATATGACTGTGAGCATATACAGGCAGGAGCTGTGTTCATATTTTCTGTTTCACACTGTTTACTCGAACAGAGAAAGTCATCAAGAAAATGTTTTACTTGCATGGCGCATTTACACTTCACGACAAAACATACTCGGAATTTGTTTGTCAAACAGATATTTTTTCTATGGAAATTTGTTTCACATTTTCTACACTTTCTCTCATTATCAAAATGTTTTTTCAGGATTTAAAAATTGAACTTTAATTCTTAGAAGTTGTTGACGTCCTCTCAAAGATTTGAAAAATCTATTCATGAAGATCATCCAAAGTGCTCAAACACAACAGAGCCACACTACAGATGAGGGAATCTCATTGACTCCCTCCTCCAGGTCCTCCATCCCTCGTTCTTTTATCCCCCCATCTCTGCCTTTCTTTTCTGTTGCTGCCCTACTCTTCCCACTGTTTGAAAAGGACAGCCTATAAATAGATATTAGGCAATATCCTTAAGAGTCTGCACAGAGAAGAAGGGAGGGAGGGGAGGGATGGAGCGACATTCTTACAAACAGCTGATTGTGTAAAGAGGGAACAGTAAGTAAGACAACACCGCCAGGGAGAGAGAGAGAGAGAGAGAGGCAGGGAGACAGAGAGCAGGAGGACGTCCGATGTTAAAATAAGTTCAAGAGTATGTGACTGAGAGATGGAGACAGAGAGAGAGAAGGAGAAATTATTTTTGAAAGCTGAGAACAGCAAATGCAGCGAGAGGGGGGGTTGAAGACAAAAAAGGTGATGGCACTAAAGCAAGTCATACCGTGACACTTGGGGGAAACATTTGTTTAAATTCCCGCCTGAGGTGTCATACAGATGTAAATGTTGCGGTCGGCACCTCCGAGGCAAAACCGCCGTGGGCGTCTTATCTAAAAGGCACATTCCGCTCAACTATTTTGATATGCCCTTCCATTCCCTCAAGAGAACAATTTCAAAGATAACTAACATTTCCAAGCAAATAGACCTGAGTGACAGGCAGGTTCCTCTAAGCAGTCACAGGAAAAAAAAAGTCACTTTGACTCCTGACAGCACTTAGGAATTAGCCAGTGTGCTTATTTTTACTGTAGACGGTGAATTTGACTGACTGTGCAGTGCACATATACGTTTGTGTAGCGGTTGAAATAATGGGCTGCAATTTAAAGAGAGGCTGAGCACATGCATGCACACACATACATGCACAACATGCACACACACTTTACTGTGGAATTCTCCAGAGGAGGCTCCCACGCTCCCTGAAAGCTTGTTCTGAGTAGAGGAGTTAACAAGAGCAGTTAGCAGCATGATTATGTTAGCAGCCAGACACACAGAGCCGTGTGTGTGTATATGTGCATGTGAGCGTGTGTGTGTGTGTGAGTGTGTGATAGCCTGTGACATTTCTGCGATGACTGTTTTGTCTCTCCCTCACTCCTAATTGAAGCTGAAACAAATCTTTGCCCCCATTTTGCTTAATTCATTTGATGTGTTTGTGTGTCTCTCCATGTGTGAGCTGCCTCCTCTTTGCGTGTTCATAAGCTGTCTGCCTGTATTTATACGTGCCTGCGTGTGCATAAGCCCGCCGCTGCTGACGTGCCAACTAAAATGGGCGTGTTGATTACAGCGAGCAGCGGCCAGTAGACGGTTAATCACCGTCAATGGCGATTATTTCGACCCGTTAATGGACGTCCGTCTCTGTCCGATTAGTGACTTAGCAGCAGTGGACATATGTGATATGAGAGGGACTTAGCCGAGGAGCCGCTAATCATCAAAAAGCCAAGGGGAAGTGGCGCTCTAATCTCAGCTTAGAGCTCTCACCATGTGCATATAGTTGTGTGTTTGTGTGCATGTTTGTGTGGCAAAAATGAGAGGTTGAGGGGGGGGGGAAAGATAAACAAATGATTAGAATTTTTTTTCGGGATTTTGCATGTTAATATGATTTGTAAATCAAAAAGTACACTGCAGTATTGTTGCAATACTGTTATGTCACATGAAACAGCAAATGGTGTTTCATGTGACATAACAGTATTGCAACAAAAAGGCCTATAGCAGTACGACTGTATGCTAATGACTGTGTTTGCTGTGACATGTTCCGGTTTTTAGAAGATGTGGCGAAATTATGCTAATGTCCTCTAATTACGACCTGGACGACGCTGCCAATTTATCGACTTAATAAAACCTCATCTCTTTTCTTTTTTTTAATCCTCCCATCATCGCTCCGCGCTTTCGAAACGTCTTCCTTTCGGGGTCGCTCTCTCACCGTGACAGGTCTGCCAAACTTTAAATGAAGTAGCCGGCGTAACCTGCTCACCCGGCGTGCCGCAATTGTGTAGTAATTCCACTTCAAAGGGGGGGACGGGAGGGAGAGAGGGATTTTTATAGCCGGAGAGGAGCTGTGAACGGCTGCCCCCATTCATAGACACCCACCTCTGAGGAAGTAGTAGGAGAGTCGAGGGGGGGGGTCGGGTTGGACTGGTGTCAAGAGGAGTGGAGGGAGAGGAAGAAGAGGAGGAAGAGGGGCAGAATAAAGCAAAAAGAATGATGAAATGAATTGTTTGCCTGCGAGTTATTTTCTTTACAACAGCTCTCTGGAGTTTTTGGATATCTATGTTGTTTCCTGTGTTAATGTTTAACTCTTAATTGTCCACGACCTGTCCATCCACAAATGCCAAAGAGGCTACTGTGGCTAAATGACGGACAATAAAGCTGCAATAACACAGCGAAGAATCCTCCCCTGCTTTCCAACAGCATGGCCAAAGCACAACTCTAGGGAGGAGAGAGGACTCAAAGCTGACTCCGGGTCTGAGTTGGGGGGACTGTGGTAGAGGTGTGCACACGTTGGGCACAAGAGGCGTGTGTTTGTGTCTGAAACAAAAGGCCTCAGTGTGAGACACTGAAAGGAGGTAAAGTAAATAGGCAGCGATGACGACAGACCTGCAGTGTTTAGGGCCCCTGTTCAACGTGTGTGTGTGTGTGTGTGTGTGTGTGTGTGTGTGTGTNGTGTGTGTGTGTGTGTGTGTGTGTGTGTGTGTGTGTGTGTGTGTGTGTGTGTGTGTTTGCCGCTTGGCCTCTAAGCCCTGTAGTTTGTACAGCTGGACCTGCCTTTTGCATGGGTTCGTGTGTGAAACAATCGTGTAACACACACACACATAAAAACATGTCCTCAGCCACTATAAGTATCAGAAATGTTATCAGAGGTGATTTTCAGTTTTAATATCAGTGGAATTTAATAGCAGCAATTTTTGATCTTATCTCTAACTTCTTATTGTCATTGAAACAAATACAGAATCTTTACTGGTCATTTATGGCCTCAGTTTTTGCTGAGCATGCACACGCAGGTAGAGCAACCAAGAGAAACAGATAAAGAAATCAGCTGCAGATACACATTCCACTCTTCTACTTCTACTCTCTGTGTGTGTGTGTGTGTGTGTGTGTGTGTGTGTGTGTGTGTGTGTGTGTGTGGCAATTAAACAGTCCCTAAAATTGAATGATTGTAGTTTTGCAGAAATTAAAATTTATTGTCAAATCTGTATCTCCGTTTGGTGACTTTGTAATTTTCTTATTCAACTTCAAATGAAGTATTACAAAAGTTCCTCATTCACAGATTAAGCACACAAAGCTCTGTAGGGCCCATTGAAAGTCAACAAAATTGCTTCTGTGTTCCTGAAAACTTTTTGCAGATTAAAAAGTGTTTTTGGAAATAATCACATGATAACACAAAATTTGTAAACTGGTTTAAATTATTATATTATCTGTGAGGTCTATGAATCTCCGAAACCTTCCAAAAAACAATTAAAGCATATTAAATCACATCAATATGGTGGAGAGTTTTCCAGTATTACTGCAGCAGCCATGATTTGATTTTGAGCTTAGCCTCCCCTGTGATAGAGCGCCACATTGCGTCTGTGAGCATCGAGCTTTTCCTCATTGCCTCCAGTGAGCAGCACTCAATATTGTTTGCCTTTCCACTGTCATAAGGTAAATAAGCACTGAATTAGTGGCAGGGCTGCTCCTCGGAACAATGCCAGATGTACAGTCCAGAGGAAATCCAATAGAGTCAAGAGGGTAATCAGTTTAGTGGAGACAACCAGGGACGGATGGTGGGGGAGAATTTAGGAGAGGAAGACGGAGCTAATCAGAGACGGATGACGATGATGATGTCGGTCTCACTGAAGGAGAGATCGAGCAGAAAACTTGTTAACTCAAAGGAAGGAGAATCAGAAGGGTGTTAGTCAGACGCCTGTTGCTTCAATCCTGGTTTCAGCTGCTTCCCATCACACACACCCCTCCCGTCATGTTTTCACTGTCCCTCCATCCACGCCTGAATCCCTCCATCCATGCCATGCGTTGCCTCTGTGTGACTCGAGTGTAAGCAGCCTATTACCCAGGGTCATAGTCACAGTCCCTTCAAGGCTGACAAGTGCATCTGAAAGCATTCAGGTGATGCTGAGAACCACATTCAATTCTATTATTGCTGTGTATTTGCTGCATCCACGCTCAGCTGAAGTACAGGGAGGCAAATTTACCTTGTGAGTGACAGAGTTCAACTAATAGACGTGGCTTTATATCCTTTCCTTCTTTTCAAGGGAACAAAGCCGCGGTAACAAATGCAAACAGCAGGGCCCTCACGTTGCCAGCTATTTTCCTCCGGTTCTTTATTGTCCAGAGGTTTTTATAAACACATATAATTGTCACTGTGCGTACTGCTCTCACTCACTGTCCATTGTCAAGACATGGTCATTTCCTCCAACAATGCCAGTGCAAGCGGGCTCCATTTGCAGTAATGGCCCCCGTCTTTTTGAAAAAAAACATGAACCTTGAATGGCCACCATGGTAAACATACTGTAAGACCTGAGAGTGTGTTTGAAGGTCTGCCAAGGAGCCCGGTGCTCGCAAAACCCTCTTCAGGGGATATTGTGTGACGTTGCACGGCGAGAGCTGTTGTCTGAATATGCAGAATGCACAACAACAAATTGGAGATAGACAATTGGTGTGGGTTGTCATGTTGAATGGGATTTAGTGAATACCTGCTGGAGGGAGTTGGATCAGACTATCCAGGAGTTTCCAGGAACTAGTCGTATCCCCTGGATCATCATATAACTCCAGATCTCAACCTCTTATATCATCTTTTGTATATTGCTCACTCTTCCTTCTGTTTTTTTTTTCTTTCCTTTCTATCTCCCTTCTCCTCTTTTTTTTCCAGGATGTCTTCCAAGCGACCAGCCTCTCCATATGGGGGGACAGATGGAGAGATAACCATGGCAACCAGCAGACAGCGAATGGATGATGAGGAGAGCGAAGGACTGGGCGGTGTCATCCACCTCCCCCTGGCCTCCTACTGCAGCAAAGTGTCCCCTCGCTCGCCCGCCAACCGCAGCTTGGACAGCCCCACCAACATGGTGAGGACAGCTACTGTTTTTCGTGCTTCTGATATCTCTTTAATGTTTCTGTGGGTGAGTGCGCCCACCTGTAGGCGACCGTGGCTAGGTGAGGGCTGACTCAAGGTCATGCTTTGAAACGGGTGCAACTTTCAGGTTTCAGGCTTGCTTCATAACCCACCTGAGTATTCACATTAGTTTGATCTCATTTGGGAAACATTATCCCAGTGAAAACTTGCAATAGAAAGTTTTATAATGTTTTCTATGAAAAAACTACATTAAAGTTAAAAGTGCCACAATTAGTGTTCAAATTATGCACTCTCTGATGCATAACTCAGTCAAATCTGAACACACGTACATGATAGCCTACCTTTTTAAAATTCAGAGCGACTCGCTTTCTGAGGACATTATCCGATGATCACCAATAATATACAAACATATATCCTTGTAAAAATCACTGGAAACAAAACACTTCTTATAAGAAATCTTTGAACTTGCTTAAGAAACTGCTTGATTTTAAGTTTTCTTTAGTGTCAAAGTAGTCCTTCAGATGCACAAGTATACTGCAATCAGAAACTGCTACTAGCTAATTCAGCTTAAGTTTAATGGTGATATTTGGCTAGAATATCAACACAAAATAGGCTAAAGTCAGAGCTCAAGGTGTTGCCACAGCATAGCTCCAGCGTTATGCCTTATGCCGTAGTTCCAAAACTATCAATAACTGTTATTCTCAGAATATATCATCAATGTGATGCTCATCAACATTGGCACTCAACTGTTGGACATACTGAAAACAAAATCTAATTTTATATGACATAAACCATTTTCCAAAACTGCCATTAAACACCTGATAGTTGACTCCGCCCCCCTGGTCACCGGCTGCTTAGCCTTCATCTCGCCTCTTTCTCCGCTGGCTCTCTGCCCTTGGCAGTACTTCCCATGAGGCTGTCTGCCTGTGTGTGTGTGTGTGTGTGTTTGAGAGGCTGGAGGTTAAGTGACCCCCGGGGCACAGACCCCAGATCAGATTATGTTCCTCGTAATCCTGACCTCCAGCATTACGAAGGGAAAGTCAGGGCGTTGAGGGCGAGTGTCTGTGATTAAAGCTTCATAAACGAGCTGGAGAAGTACGCAGCACCTGTCTGACAGTGAATTACAAGTTCTGCGAGAAAAATCTTTCATTTTTGTGGATGTACTTTGCAAGAAATAACGACACTGACCTTGTTTATCCGTGAAATGGCCACATAATGTAGTTTCGGCAATGAAACATGCTTGGAGTAATTAGAATTGTGTGGCTTGTATTGAATTTCCCGTCATATCGGGACAAAGAAATGTTTCTGAATATTTGAAGTAAAATGGTGGCATATGCATCCTGGATCTCTTTCAACATGTTGTTTACTTCCCGTAACCTTTAAAACCTCAACACAAAAAACTGCACTTTTCTCAGCGGTGAGGAAACTGAATATATGGATGTTTATCTGTTGATTCTTGACAGAATTGAAAGGAGTCCGTTTTCTAAAGAGGTAGAAATTGACTTTCTCTGTGAGTGAAAAGCAGTTTGGCACTGAGAGCTGGAGGTTATTGTTTTTTTTTTTAAATAGGGGAGAAGAGAGAAATAAAAAAAACGAAGGTTCAAGGCTACTGTTTGGGCGCACACGTGTTTTCGCTTTTATGTGCGCTCCACCAGCCGTCGCCTTGAGCCTGTTTGATGCACAGTTGCGTGACTGCAAAATGTGAGCCATGACAGTGAGTCACTTCATCTTTGGGATGAAGTGTGACATTGTTGGTGGTGCTGAATGTATGGCTCTGTTTTTGTGAGTGTGTGTGTGTGTGTGTGTGTGTGTGATTTGCAACTATGCGGAATACAGGCTTGTTGTGAACTTCTGTGTATGTGTGTGTTTGCTCTATGTGCATTTAAAGATGACTCCTGCGTGCGGCTCATTACACATTCAATTCATGTGGTGTGATTTACAATGCATGTTCATTACATACGCATGATTATGTGATGATGGTAATTTTTTTTCAGTGCGTTTGCGAAACAAAATGTTACAAAACAAATGTTCTTAACCTTTCAGGGCATCTGTGAAAAGCTTTTGTCTTGCTGGTGTCTAAACTTTCTCCAGTGTGTTTTCTCGGTGTGTGTGTGTGTGTGTGTGTGTGTTACAGTGTCTGTGCTTTACCCCTGAGCCCTTACCTTGATACACACCTTGTCACAGTGACGCTCTGATAACGACCGTCGACCTTTCCCCCATAGTGATGATAAAACAATGAAACGGTGCTTAGGGGCTGTAATGGAAAGCTAATTCTGTAATTAGCCTGCTGATTAGCCCTCAGGCCCCTCCCCACGGTGGACTCTGCATGTGTGCCTACTATAAACCAAAGTCCTGGGGCCACGCTGAAACACGCTCACACACAGACGCACAAACACACACCTGCATGTTCGTACACATACACCAGGTTATCTGTTGCAGTAGAGGACAGTGATTAGATGATCTGCGGTTCATTTAGATTAGCTATATATTATATATATAACGTGGAATACAAAGAACTCTACAAATATCATTAATATGTGGGCCTTTATCCTTGTCCTGCTTGTGTTAGTATGAGAGCACCACTCATTAAAAAACCCTTAAATATCCTCCAAATGACACACAGTGGCTTTTCTAGTACATTAATTGGCAGTAGAAGAGGGATAGTGGTGGTGTGTTTGTGCGTGTCGAAGGACTTGTGTTGTTTGAGGAGGGGGGCTCGTACACTAGCATAATATCTGATGTGGATTATGAAGTGGCGAGCAGGGTGTGTGTGTGTGAGGCTGGTATGTGGGGATAGGGGCTTATCCCACTGCCTGCTTGGCATGTTGTAAGATTTGTGTTAAGTTTTTTTTTTTTTTTTTTCAATCCCTTCGCCGCTGACTGTCAGTGAAGAGTGGATGAAGAGGGAATAGAAAGAGAGATGGAGAGGGAGGAGGAGATTTACAGCAAGGCGGTGGGGGACTCTGAGAGAAGTGGGGTGGGGGTCTCTCTCCTCACATCTCCCATCCCTAACCTTCTTTCCCTGGGCAATTGTCGTAAAGTGATAGGGGGAAGTAAATGGCTCATCGGCGACCAGTTGACTTGGAAGTGAGGCGGCGGCAGAGGGGGGGAGAAGGGAGGAAGGACTGGGAGGTGTGTGTGTGTGACAGCTTTATCTTGTCATAGTAAATTAACACGGCAGCGGAGAAGAGCTCAGCTACACACTGACCTCTTCATCCTGCCCGCCTCGCCTGCCTGCTTGGCTTTGGCTCGGCCGCTTTACCTGACTGCTGCAGCTGTACGGCCACACACACATATGCACACACACACGCATTTTAAAAGCCTGAAAGGTGTCGGATTATTCGCTTTTTCTAAATTTTTTGTACGGATAAGAATGGTGGCAGCTCATAATGGTTTGCAAATGAAGGTAGTTTAGCTAAAAGGGTGTTTTTACTGAATGTGAGGTTCTCACTGTGCAGCTGGACCCTGATTGGCTGAGAGCAGCTCGGTTCAAATGCCTGATGGGATGGATTTTAGAAGCGGTTCAGTGAGGTCGGCCAATCATCACAACAAATCCAGTTATGACGCACCTGCAGTTTTGAAAGGATGGATTTTTTAAAACTTTTTTTGTGATGAAAACAAAACATAGGTGAAAATTAGGATTTATTAAAACAGTATACCCTTAAGTTCATAGTGCATAGATATGATATTTTTCTCTTGTTTACTTTCTTTTACGTCTTATATGTTTGTGTTATTGCAGAACCTTGCAGGAAAAAGATGTTTGCACATCAGGCAGAGGCGAGCATCTTCTTTCATAAATGTGTTAATGGACAAACACTAATTATTTCATTTACTGGCAGGATGCACGTTAACACGATAGAAAAACTACAAAGGCATTATTCCTTTTTCATTTTCCTCCACGAGCCCTCTCGGTTGTTATTTTTTTGGTGTAATTTGTATGTGTGATTGTGTGTGTGCGCGCTCATGTGAATTTGACAGATTTAACACAGTCATTGAGCAGTCTTGAGACACAGTGGTCACACTTAATTTCTCATGCCAGTGATGCACTAATGAATCAACACACGCTTGCCTGTCAACAGCGAGGGGTCGTGGTAAAATATACTGGCGTGCATTTTAGCCAAACTGCTATTTAAAACACAGACAATACAGCTGCGCGTTTTTAGATAAGGAAAAGGGCAAGTGTGTAATTCTTGGACAATAAGTTGCAGCCAATTAGAATCAGGACGTTAATACAATGGTGCTTATTTTCAATTTTGTTAATTAAGCAATTATATTAATGTATTCAAATAATTATTGATGTCATACACTACATGCACATATTTTTTTTTAAATATAGGGTTTCTGTGGTGAATCTGAACCATATTGTTGCAGCAGTAATGTGTGTGTTTGCCTGCTTGTCCCAGCCTGAGGGACATCAGAGTCAAAACTGACAGTCTCTGTGTTTAGCCATGGCATGTAAAGGGATTTACTAGGTGTGTGTGTGTGTGTGTTTGGCAGTGTATTGGAGGTGTGTTAAGTGTACGTCGAGGAGATTGGCAGCCCTGGCGTGGAGCTAAGTCTTACCCCCCTGCAGGAGTGATCAGTGACATTCTCCTGGTGTGTGTTTGTGCGTATTTTAGTTCAGCAGCGGCTTCCAGTTCCTTCCTACTGCCACATTGTCCATGCCCTGATCCACAATGACACGCCAAGCATCAAATACTGTTTTCCACACGAACACCTTGCACCGTCCAAGACATGTCAGGTCCACAGCACAGAAAGAGATCGAGAGAGAGAGAGAGTTTTCTTCTGTCGGGCAATAGACGCGGAGGAGGAAGGGAAGAAGACGGAGGAATAAAAAAAAAAAAAGAATGAACAGTGGCATCTGTGCTGGCTCTAGGAAAAGAAAATAGCATTTTGATTTTTTTTCCCTCTTTTTTTGGCAAGAGTTAAGTGTTTTTAAACCAACATCCCCTCACAGATGAGCTTAAGAAGACAAAAGTTGTTTAATTCGGTTCCATTGCAGAGGCAGTAAAAGGATAAAGAGAGTGAGGCGCAATTTTTACTTTGTTCCAGTCATTTGGAAGAGAATTGACATCTGCAAACTAAAGGCAGAACCGCCCACACTGCCAGCCTGCCACATCTAGTGCATATAAATACACGCATGCAGGCGAACACATTTACACACACACACACCTACAGGCTATGTGCACTGTGTCATACATATATGCACAGAACTGCTCGCACACATGCACGCAGAGGAGGGCAGAGAGCGTTTACAGTATCCTCAATTTGTGTTTGTACTTAGGAATAAATGAATGTTGATGAGAAAAGTTTTGCGACCCCCCATGTTAGTGAAAGTATTGGCTGAGCGACACCCGTTTCCCAAAGAGGGAGCTCATCTTCTGTTTTATTTTCATTTTTTTGATCCCTCTGTCTTGCTGTGGACTTAACTGTTCACCAGCAAGGCTCATGGATTACATGTTATGAGGTCGAAAAAAATCAGAAGCCTTTAAAGTTGCCGCCTTGTCTTGACTTCACGCATAAAATAACCTCATGGTCCACTAATCTAGTGGGTGTCTTTTTGAAGAAGCCAGGGCTCCCCAGCTAATTCCCTGGGATTGGGGGGAAATTGACCTTCACTGTTGGATGCGGCGAGATGATATCTCCGTGGTAGCTTTTTGATGGGGCAAGGAGAAAAAAAGAACAAGAAAGATCCCCCCCACAACCACCGAAATTCCACCTCCCAACTTCATCCCCCTCCCGTATTCTTGTTCTGTTGTTTTGTTTTGCGCGACATCTTTCTCGAAAGAAAAGAGTGTGTTTGTCTTAAGTAGGCGCTGGATTAGATAAATGGGATGTGACAGGTGTGACCGCTGCCTTCAAGATGCCTGCCTTCCACTCTCTCTCTCTGTATCTCTCCGTCAACTCTCTCCCTCTCTCTTTTCCTCTAATAACATTGCCTCTCTCTGCTTCTCTCTTTCTTTGACTTCCAACCGCTTACGCTCCCTCTCCCTCTCTCTCCGTTTCGCTCCATTTGCATCTCGTGGCGGAGCTGACGCAACTCTTAATCACAAAGCCGCTCATTTGAAGTCTGAATTTCCCTAATCTGAAGAACAGGAAAGGGTGAACGGAAAGAAAGAGAGATCCAACAAAGAAAAGACAGGAGCGGTCCAAACTCTCAACTTGGTCAGGTGGTGCGGTAGAGGAGGAGCAGGAGAAGAAGTAAAGTCTTTGAGCGCTTTAAGATCACAAGGCGCTTCTCGAGCACGGTTAGCGGCCTCACCGGCAACTGAGTGAAGTCTCATCCCCCCGTCACACAGTAAATACACACACACATGAGAGAGAGCGAGAGAGAGCCAGTGAAGTGTAGAAAATGTCAAGTGATAATGGTCTTCAACCTGACAATGAAAGCATCGTCAATATTAAAAGCCTCTGTCCGGCTTTATTCTCTCAGTAGAGCCCAGAGTAATGATTTGTTTGGAGGGTTTGAGTTTATTTTTCACTCTTCTGCTGAAATAGATGCTTCTATTAATAAAAAACAAAGCTTTTGCCTATCAAACAGAAACCAGAGTCATCTGGGGGCTGGATGACTTCACCGTGGACTGTGATCTCAGTGTCAGGTTCCACTTCCACCAGCAGCCTGCGAGTTAATGATTAGAAAACCATCTCCGCCCTAATACGCTGTAATGTCATTAATACAGATGGAACGTACCACTGTCTTTCTGTTTGTCTCTCTCTCTCTTTCTCTCTCCCTCATACACACTGAGAAAAACAGAGGTACTGTAAATGTGTGCCGCTTTCCCAGGTGGCGTGCTCCATTCTGTGGTGAGATTAGCCAAAGATTAACCCTGTGGACCATTGACCCTCCTGTCTATAGAGCTGATGGTCTGACTGACTGGCTGATTGACTGACTGACTCACTTTGTTTCTGTGATCGAAAAACACACGCACACTTTAAAACATCAGTATGTGCAAGGGGTGTAGCGCTCTATTATTTGCACATTAGACACCATTATGTGTGTCTGTCGATATGTCGCAAGCATGCGTACAGTACTAAGCGCATGTCTATTCGTGTGTTTGTGACAAAGAGATAATGTGTGTGTGCTCTCGCTCGGAGCTGACGCTGTCCTTTCTTTTTGTCGGCGTCACCTCTTAATTGGGCTGAGTCTGCCTTAAGTCAATTATGCAGGCTGTCCAAACAAACACAGGTATTATTGGGTCAAAGATTAAGATGCTCAAAAGTTACTTACCACTCAGCTGCCGTCATGTTTTATTGTTTGTTTGTCGCTGTTTGTTTGTCGCCGTTTATTCATATAAGTTTACCCACACCCTGCCGCCATTCTTCAGGACGTAGAGGTAATTTTAAGTTGTGAAAAAATGTGTCTTCAATTTTTCTACAGATACTTTAAAGTCACAACAGGTGACATTTTCTCATCTTGTGCGCTCAAGATATTAACTTGTTACCACATTGCAAGGTGAGAATAAAACTTGATTAGCTGAGTTCTCTCTGTCATGGTGCCTGTGTGCATCTAAAGTTAGTAAATTATTTTTGTAGGCACAATTTAGGCTTTGTATTTTTCCCAAACAAAAAAATTTTTTTTATCGTCCACTTGAAAAATTCCAGAAACTATATATATGCAAATATTGTAAATTATAAGAAATTCAATGATTGTACAAGATATGTCACAAAATTGCCACAATTGGTTTCTAACCTTCGACTCGTGATGTCACAAAACTTGCTCATATATGCACGTTTGGATTCATGAGCGCTGACAAACTTTTAAATTCAGCTGATGAATTTGAAAACTTACTTCATACATAATTCTGCAAGTGAAGTAACAATAAGCCAAATGTAGTTTTGAAACTGTCTTCAAAATAATATTTTCTTTTATTCATTGATCTATTTCTTTGTTAGTATTGTGATTTCCAGAGATCATTAAACTTAACATGTTTAAGACTGTAAATGAAGCCATACGACAGCAGGATAATTATTCATGGTGACAGCTTGGCAAAAGCCACAGAGCTTCACTTTGTATATTTTATATTTGGTCGCTGTCATGCTGATTTCTATTTTGCGTGTTGTGAATTTTCCTCTAGCCGTTCTATTCCTTTCATAAGTTTATGGAAATGATTTGACGCAGCTCCAAAGCTTTGTTTTTTTGAAACAGGATCTATTTTCTTGTGATTCCTCTGAGTGATGCAGTTGCATCCTCAGCGTTAATTGTCACGAATGCTTAGGACAAAAGTAGCGAGGAACTGAAACTTGGGCTTGGGACTCAGTACAGTGGCGTTGGACGCCCCTCAAAGCCAAGTTGTCGGAGGCTTTGTAACAAGGAGTTTGTGCGACTTTAAGAGCGTGCAGAGTCTTTTTGCTGTTCGTTTCATGTCCTCGTTCTGTCAAGTACCTCCAAGTCAGTCAAATGCAGATTCCAGAGGATGTGAGAGGGATAAGAGAGAAGAGAAGTGTGCCCTAACTTGAGAAAACTGGCTGCTGATGAAAGTTGGTTGCATTGAGCTGTGAGAAGGGGAGATGGAGAGAATAAAGGGAGCAAGAGAAGAGGAGGAGGATGAAGATAATGAGTGGGTGTATGCCAGCTCCTCCCCTACCTCCTGCTACTTTTTCTTTCTCGTAGTCTATTTGTCCTGAAGTTTAGGTACATTTTTAAAAAGCAATAATTAAAATTTCTTTACCTTCCCCTCTCTTCAGGATCAAGATGGCACTAAGGGGAGCTCTCTGAGTCCTTACCCCCAGCACAATTCTACCTCACCGGGCAAAGAGGAAGGCGGAGGCGGGGGACGGCCCTGCAGCGACGGGGGCTCAGTCGCGGGCGCCCTGGGAACCCCAGAGAGACGCAAGGGCAGCCTGGCAGACGTGGTGGACACACTGAAACAACGCAAGATGGAGGAGCTGATCAAGAATGAGCCAGAAGGTCAGTGATGAAAAGAAACGCTTGTGCAGGCCAGATGTGTGATCCACAACTCCCCGTCATCTCTCTGGCTCCGTGCCGCTTTTTTATCACATTCTGTTGTCCTTGCTCCCATCGTCTTTTCTTTCTGTCTCCTTTCCTCTATGACTCTATCGCTCTCTCTACATCTCTCTGCTATGAACCCACACACATTTCAGATGAGAGGCGAGCCTTTGTTTTTCAGCACACAGACAGATAGCATCAGCTGTTTGGGCCGTTTGTCCACAAAGCTTTGCATATTTATCTCAATCTGACAAATAAGTTACGTGTGTGTGTAGTGAACAAGTGTGTTAAAAGCCTGCAAACATACATGGAGATCATAACAGCTATTAACTTCTTTAATTTTAAAGATTCATTTTAAGATTTATTTTAGCATTATAATCAGGGAGGGTTAAATGTCACACATCAATTTTCCTGCTACCTTTACAACCTTGGCGTTGAATGCTGTCTCAGGCCTCAGATTAAGACTTTACACACTGTCGAGCAAGTTAAAGCAGATTGTTGCCCAGGGCTACGTAGCTCAGCTTGATTACCCCCACATTTCATTCTCAAATTTAGCCCTGGGCTAACAGTCGGAGTCGGTGAAAGAGATAAAATTAGCCCCTGGCCAACTCTAATTTCCACTGGGCAGATAAATGGCAGCTTAAATCACAATGAAATGCATGTGGTAGTGACAATTTGATAAGGGGATCAACAACAGGTGTCCATCTCCTTTAGGAAGACAGGATAATGTACTGTAAATAATTTGGTGCTTTAATGCCTTGCGCAAGGGCACTTAAACTAAGCAGCCTGGCCCATTCTATCTGATATGCATTCTTTTTATTTGCCAAGAGGCATCTGATCCCAGTAAAACTTCACCTGAATAAACCCAAAGGATAATTAGAGCCGATATAAATGTGATCAAACTGAACGGACCACAATATAAAGAGGACACCAGCATTATGTGCTTACAATAACAAGCAGCCTCAGTCAACAACAGCAACAGTATTGGCTGATTCTATCAGTAAATTAAGTTGAGGAAACCTTTTTTTATAGTTTATTCATCCATCCGTCCAGTATCTATACCGTGTATCGTTTGAGGGTTGTGAGGGGGAGCTGGAGCTAATCACTGCTGACATTTGTTGAGAGGCAGGGTTAGAACGGTCACCAGCATATCACATAACAACATACAGAGACAACAACCATTCATAATCACATTTTGACCTATGGTCACACAGCACCGCACCACCATGTTGCCCTTAGTTTATACATGGCCTATTTGATTTATAGAAATTATTAAAATCCTGCAACAACAACACACAGAGAAAATAATCATTTTCTACTTAATTTATAGCTTTGATTGTGCAGCATCTGATGACATGGCTGAATTTGCTGCAGAATCCGGATGTAATCACTGTCACTTTACTTACTTGTACTGTGTATTGTGAGCTGTAGCTTTTATTTACTGACAAACCGCAGCTTAAAGTGTGCACTCACTGCTAAATACACACTACTAACACGACTCTGCTTCGATCACCAGCACCTGTCTGTTGTGGGTGAAGCTGCACCGTCATTCTCTGAGCGAGCATTGCAGGCTCCGATCCATTCAGATCCCCTTGGTTATCAAACTAATTATAACAAGGACCCAAGTGGCACAAACAAGGCTCTATCAGACCTGAGACTGTGGACCCTTGGTCAGAGTGGACTTCTAAAGCAGATGAATGCTACAACATCCACTACATCGTCTGATGCACCTCCACACTTCGCTTCTAATTCCACCACTGTTGCACTCTGTCAGATTTCTATTCATACATCTCTGTGAACTGTACTCAGCCTCAAAACACACTGAGCCCAGAAGGCAAAGAAATGTTGTCAATTTAAGTGTTGATGGGGTTAGGTCTTAGATGGGTCTTAAAGTGTACATTCACATGTGTGTTTGTGTTGCCCTGGTGCATCAACAGGCTTCCATTTCAAGCTGTGATGTGCTAACCTTATTCTGAAGGCTTTTCTGTGAGGGGTTTTGAAAGCAGCAGAGGCTGCCGGTCAGCCCTCGCTGTCTGGCTGTTTTTATTCCAGTCGATAGAGAAAGCCTGTTGTGATACATTTTAGAAAGAAAGAAAAAACTGGGCTGCTTGTTGATCTGAGCTGTTTTGGGTTGTTCACTGCTTCGCTGGACCTCATGAACCGGCTACACAGGAAAAAACAGAAATAATGGATCTTTATGAGTCAGCCAGCGCAGAGGGAGAGAATGGGGGAGAGAGAAGAGGAGAAGGGGCAGAAGAACAGGACATAAGGAATAAGAGAAGGAGATGAGGAGGAGGAGGAGAGTGGAGGAGAGAAAGACCAGTGTCTTCGCAGACCCCATTAGCAGAGTGCCACATTGGTGCGGCATCCAAACCGACCCCGAGCATTATCTGGCCCTACTCTTTAAATGAAACCCGCGAACAAAAGCCCCCAGCGCCTCCAGACCCACACACACATGCAAAAACCCTGGCCAAGCAGGAAGAGAAAGGAAGAAAGAAAAGACAGTAAAGGAAGAAAAGGGGAAGCTGAGAAAAGATGAAGAGAGGGAGAGGGAAATGAAGAGAGTGGGGGTGAGGGGGAGCGTGGGGGACGACAAGGGGCGGTATTGAGCACAAGATAGAAATCCCTTTTCTGTGCCCGGCTAGCTATTGTTTGGCTGTGTGGCTCAGAAAGGCCATTAGCAGCAAACAGCAGGTTGGGATGAAAATTTAATGAAGGCTTTAATCATTATGAAAGGCCTGGAATATTACTGCTTTCTCTCTCTCTCTCTCTCTCTCTTACACACATGCCTGGGCGCTGCTTTCAGCCGGATCAATGACACACACACACACACACAGACACACACAAACACACATTCAAGAGTGTAGGAACATTAACACCGGGAGGGACGTGAAGAGGCCAAAGATACAAAATGGGTCATAGAGCGATAAACATCTCAAAAACAGAAAGAGAAGCTCGACTTATCGAAGGCAGCCTCCGAGCCAGACAACACACACACGCACACACACACACACACACCCCAAGTATGGTTTAAGTTTGAAAGATATAGTTTTGTGTCTGTGGCTAGTGTTGCTCTACTTAGGCTAGATGAATGGAGAGTGGTAGATACTGGGTCAGTGTGTGTGTGTGTGTGTGTGTGTGTGTGTGTGTGTGTGTGTGTGTGTGTGTGTGCTGTCGAAGCCTCTGGGAGCATGTATACTTGTGTATATGTATTTGCATATGTATTTGTGACAGAAAGTGTATACACATGTGTTTAGGGAAGCATTGCGTTTGGCCGTTTGTGTGCAAGGTGTTTGTGTGTGTGTGTGTAGGCCTCTAATAAATGACTAGTCATGTTGTCCCCCATGGCCTGGCCCAACCATGCTCCACCGCTCCCCTGCTCTCTCCATTCATCTCCTGTCTTCCTCCACTGGCCACCTGCTACCCAGGAGATACACACTCACACACACACCATTACATACATGAGCAGATGCACACACATACCGGCTCACCACCGTCTCTTAATAAGTTCTTCAGGAGCGACAGGAAGGAACGAGCGAGGATAAGAATGCCATGACATTGACTTGTTTGTTTGTGTGTGTTTGTGTGTGTGTCCGTGTGTTCATCTGGACTCGAGGCCACTTGGTGAAACGGCTCGTGCTGGAGTGTGTGTGTGTGTCATTATGTGGAATAATGAGAGCACAGTGCAGAGCAGCGGCGCGGGAGGCGCGGGGTCGAGAGGAGAGTCGGTGCTTAAACCCCAAGATACATGGCTGGGCGTTCAGGATGAACACAAGCACACACTCACCTGGGTCAGACAGGTCCCTTGGAGTTGCCATTTACCCCCATGTAACCCCTGTGCCAAAGAGCAATGACTAGTGATAATGTATTAGCCCAGCTGTGGAATAACAGAGGGATGGATACGATAGATGCATAGATATGATAGATGGATAGATACAAAAGAAAGATGAGATAGGTACAATAGATATGATAGATAGATGGATAGATACTATAGACAGATAGATACAAACATACATACTTGCATACTGTGGGAATGCACACGTGATGGATGGGTAGATGAGACAGATATTAATCTATTCAATAAAAGAGGCGATACATGACTAAATGGGACACAGATGTTCCTCTCTGCCCCTGGAGTAGTGCCTCCACTGCCCAGGACTTTCACCAAACACTCAACCTCATTCCTCTCCTATCCTCTTCCTCTCGGCAGCTCTGACTGTAAGTGGCTGTCATTAATTGCCAGCTGAGCTCCCTCTCTGGTCCCGTCTGTTGACCCTCTGCTACCCAACACAGCTACCTGTCACTGGGGCACTGTGGCCTCTGGGACTCTTTAGGTTTTCTCTTCTTCTAGCTATAAACAGAAACAGAGGCCCTCATCAAGAAATGTGTTTCCACAGAATGCATTTACTGTTGAGGTGGCCTAAATCTATTCAAAGTGATTCAAATTAAGCTGCATCTGGCTGCATGCAGTCTGTATTTACACAAGTCTAAAGTAGGTATGAAAAAAATTATAAAATTCAATAACCTGCATTTTAGGTTTTAACATATGTAGAAATATTACATACTAGTTTTTTAATACGTTCAAGTAGTTCTTAATTATGTTAACGTTCATTTAATGCTTCCGTAGGGCTTTGAAATTATTTTTTTTAATAAAAATGTTTTGGCAACATGCTCAGTTGTAACGTCTCTGTGTAATTTCTGAACGATACAGATATTAGCACGTTGTAATAATACACTGCCGTCAAACTGATGACTGAATTTATCTTGGTTTGCAAAATAACGTAGCGTTGCCAGGGTTATTCTCTACTGGGTTACTTTACTATATCTTCGATTGAGTGTGAGATATTCTGGGACTCTGATATTCCTTCACATCTGTCGTACTAGAAATAGGTCTTTAATTTCATTCATAAAGGGCGTAATAAGTCTTAAATAGAACTAAACCCTGAATATTGCATTTTTGAAACGTAAATAATTTTTTTGAAGAGCAGCCGTTTCCATCACTGATCACTCCCTGCTCGGAGGAAAAGCCTGGAAAACCATTTTCTAGTGATCCAGCAGCAGTTGTATTAATGTCACTTTAGTTTTCCTCACTCGATGAGATCAGAAGTAAATCTCTGTAGTGTCAAATGACAGTTTGTCTACAAAGTGACGGCTGTAGCCATGAATAAGAATCAGATCAGTTTCATCTGCTCTGCGTTGCCGGGGTCAACAAATGCCAAAATACTTCTTGTTTTACTGAGCCTGGGTGCAGCTCAGGGGTCAGACCCTTACCTTTGTATTTTACGGCCTTGATCCGGACACACGTGCAGGGCCATAACACACATACACACATTCTGCTATGTGCAGGTTTACAGCCTTGCCGGCAACCTCGAGGTCAACCAAAATGGTGTTTTTATGGCTGAGCATACTCGCCGCTCCGAGGCACCGGCTTCCATACTGAAAATGCCAACTCAATGACAGATGTCACACAACACACACTCACGGACACATGTTCTCACATGCACGCACAGCACTTCATCTATTTTCAAGGCAGGGAGGGAACCCAGGGCTTGCTTTTAGAGCGCACTGAGGCATTTTATAGGACAGCACTTAGGCGAAGCCATTGTGCCACACAAGCACACAGTGACCGGAGCTCCCTCACGCCTCCATACACTCCAATGGGTGACAATGGGAAGGGCGGATACGTTCTGCCAAGAAGAAGGAGAGGGTGAAAGAAAGGGTTGGGGAAAAAAAGAGCTGGAGAAGTGGAGGGTTCTCTCGTTCATCTGTCCATCAGTGTAGACCCCCTCCACCCTTCACTTTGCCTAATCCTTCTACTGCTCTGCTGTCTGGGGGGCTATGTCACACACAAACACACACACACACATACACACACACACACGATAAACATCAACAATGGCATATACAACCTTTGCAAGCCCTCACATGGACCTGCAACTTTTAAGCATATACCCTGAGGGGAATTTGTGAACTGAAACGCAGCAGTGCTCGTGCACAAAAACAAGCGCATGCACACACACAGATGCACAACAGCAGGTTCACAGCCTAGCGTGGGAGCGGGCGAACGTCTTTATGTGATTTCCACCCTTTGTCGGTAATTAGTTAGTTGTATAAATTAACATGAAGTGCAGCAGGACTCTCACAGCCATTGTTTGTCGCGATCATTCTTCTCGCGCTGGGAAAAAGAGGAAGGCAAGTGAAATGAAACAGAAGGGGAGGTTGAAAGAGAGAGTTGTTTTTTCTTTTTCTCTTTTTATTCACTACAAGCGGGAAAAGAAAGTTCAGGCAATGAAGAAAAAACAAGATTTTTACCACTTAAAGCGCTCTAAATGCGTGGTCAGCGTTTGTTAAAGAGAAGTTGACATCACGCTTATGAGACTTACTCTGCCTTGAACCCTCTGCTAAGAAGATCAGAACTCTGCATGTTTTTTTAATTTTTTTATGCAACGCTTCCTATCCCGTGACCGAGTAGAGAAAAAGAAAACCTTTAAACATTCTCTTCCTCACAACGTTGAAAAGGAAATTGCATCCTTCTGCAGCAATAAAGCTCACTTTATGCTGCATATCTAAGAACACCAGTTCCTTTTTTATTTGTTATTCATTCCAGTCAACCCAGTGTCATTGTGTCAGTTAACTTCACAGAGACAAAGGGGGGGAATCATCATAGACATGGCTCACGATTCAAATCGAGTCAATTCATTTTTTTCTTTTTGTTTTGTTTTCGCTCTCTCTCTTTTGTGGCATGAGAAACAGGCAACGTCATGGTGCGAACCTGAAGCCTATTGTGGGGCCGGGGCCATTGTTGGCGCGATGAAAGACGCATTCAAGTCACTTTTCTTATTGAATTGTTTTGCGTCTGCTTTTCAACGTGGCTTTCTCTCCTCAGCCTTGCACGGGACAATCAGTGGGGATGAAACTCTTTTCTGCCATTCTACCCCGTCCAGATGAGCGATATTAAGGAGATGAATAGTGTGCATGTGCGTGTGTGTGTGTGTTTGTGTGTGTGTTTGCATGGAGAAGCAGTGCCCCAGCTTTTGTCAAATACATGAGCATAAAGGGGCTTAGAGAGAGGGTCCTGTGGTTTTCCTCATGGTGTGTGTGTCTGTGTGTGTTTTCGGCCTCCTGGTGTGGCATTAAGTTAAGGACAAAGGCCGGGGTCCATGAATCAGCCTGTGCTTCCATAGCTTAGCTTATTGTGACCTACTCACAATTTGACTGCCCTACAGTACAGTGTGTGTGTGTGTGTGTGTGTGTGTGTGGATACCTGGTGAAGAAGCAGGAGAATGAAGGGAATGTTTGTGTGTGTCATACACACCATATGGATGGGCTACGTTTTTGGTGGGTGTATGTGTTAAGTGTGTGTTTGTGTGAATCAGACTGTCCCGCATAAAGGCCCCCTGTCACTGACTCCCAAATATTAGACAGGCCCCAGTGTTTTGGCATCCGCACATTCACTCCCATTCATCTGCACGTCCCATGACCGAATCAGTGGAATCCATGATTTATCTGCTCAGCTTTCTCATAAACTCTCTTCATTTGCACGCCCTGTTGTTTTTCCTCCTTTTCTGACATTTCTTTTCCTTTTTCCTTTTTGGCTCTTTTCTCCCATTCCCAGGGAGGAATGTTTTTATGCCGGGAAATGGCTGTGAAATAAATGAACCTTTTTTTGCGTGAAGTGCCGACTTTCATTTGTCCCTCAATTACTTTATCAAAAAGATATGCAGCTGAAAAATCTTCAAACTTCACAAAAAAATTGGAACGGAATTGCTGATTGGAAGCTGTTTTCAGAAGGCCCCCAAAACATTTTTACTTTATTAGAACAATTATCTGTATTATATAAGCCAGCCAAAAGCTTCAACTTGTTCCACTGAGTAGTTTATGAACATATCAGGAGTTACTTTTTGAGTGGGTGCATGTCATATTTTGGAATCCTTGATTTATTAAATTTTGACTTTGTGCCATAGCAAAATCTAAAACGGTGTCACTTTGCTTCAAGCTTTTCAATGCCATTAACATGCACGTGTGACAGTGTGTGAGCATGGAGGCACTTCAGTGAACTTAGGAAAAGGGTGAAATAGGGGGAAAGTGCACACGTGTTCATAGATTTGTATCGTAGGGAGCAATAATTTGTAGGTCCAGAATTTCCCAAGTCAGCTTCCTGGAAAGGAGTTCAGTCATTCGATATTTAGTATATGGAAAGTTCTGAGAAAGTCATTTAGTTTTGTTTTTAGCTGAATGGGGTTTTGCGGTATAGTTGTTCTTTAAAAATCAAGGAAATCGTACTTCATTATTCATCATATTCTCTGAAACATTATTTCTCATGTGTCTCGTTCTCTGTAGACAAAGCTGATCTTCTGTACAGAGCCAGTCAGAGGGAATTAACTTATTGGAAGTATTCATATTGAACACTATCTCTATTTGACACACAGTTTAATTATTATTCATATAATCGTATTATTGGTGTTATCTAATTAAGTAGTTCTTTCCTGGAAAATATTAGGACATTTTGGACCTGTAATCGAAAGTGTTACTGAATCTCTTCTGATACATGTTGGCGGAAATATAACATGTAACACTGTGGTACCCAGATGCTTAGCACCTCCATATAAAAGTGAGATTGACTTAACCTATGATGCATATATGTATTTTGGGTTATGTGCATATATGCGCATGAACGTACGTGTTTATGCGACCTGAATAAACAACTCCAGTGCTGTAGGTGCACATCATGGAACAATTTAATCTTGCTGTTGGCTGTAATGTATAGCTTTCTGTTAGAGCTTATTAGCCATGGTTTAGCAAGACGTTCAGTGTGTGTACTTATAGTATATTGTACATATGTTTATATACAACTATAAATGTACTTGCAAGCCCTGTGCAGACAAGTATGTTTGCCTGTCTGTGCCTTAAACACCACACATTTCATGTTAATATATACAGAGACTACACCCCAGTTCT